GCGTGCTGCTCGAAATTCACTCGGTTTCTCAGATACCGAGAGTCTTGTGGATGTAAGTTTGCTACTCCATTTACACTGCTTCTCTCTTGTATAGGCATAGTAATTTCCTAGCTAGATTGGTCAAAGCGAAAACAGCATTTCTGGATTTGCTCGTAGTATTTTTGGATCTGTTGGAGCAACTCACATTAACACAAAGTGATTTGGATGCCGTAGTAGTATGTATAAAGCCACTGCGCAACATTACCGTTCTTTGTCCGTGCTGTGATTTTGGTGAAATGAAGGAATATTTTAGCCATGCATCTGCTTCTCGAGTTACTTTGGGATTTTGGAGAGAGGGGGGGGAGGGGGGGGGAGGGGCATTTGCTGTTGCATTATCTCAGCTGTAATGTTTATTTTCCCAACCTACAGGGTTTTTTTTTTTTGAGATCTAATGCCTGCCAACATTTTGTTAGTCATTGAAAGGCATTCTTCGTGGTAGAGTACATTTATTGCACATTACTGCTTATAATGTTTGTATCTCCTTTTTGGATGTCAAACAGAGAATTTAAGCAAAGCCGTAATGTCCTTCATACGCCACAATTTTCGCTTTTTGAGATACTTTCTGCACAATTGCACCTTAATGTGCTCCTGTCGTCAATAGTTAATCACTGGAGAACCGGGAGAATTTTGAAATATGGGAAAAGTATTGAGAGAACGTGGTGGAAGTGGTGCCGAGAGATCAAACTCCGGGATTTTTCAGTGTTTTTGTCAAAATTTCAGCCTGTGAAAAACCTGTCATAGTTTTAGTTTCGAAAGTTTGCTGTTTCTGCAGAAGGATGCTATGCATGTAAGGTAGCTTACGGAATATGTATGCTCTCAGACACTGATTTACAAGTGGCTTTTTTAGGCGCAGTTGCATGGCCAACGAGTTCGTGAGGTAGAAGATTATGTTGCATTGAAATTATGCGCTGACCAGATGATGTTAACGGATAATGTGAACACTGAGGACAGTGTCTAATTCGCGCCTCGTCATTTCACTGGCGCTTGATGCCTTCAATCTTCTCTTATAATTATTAATTTTGTCTCCTGAACATGAAGATAGTTTGGTGTTCTTTGTTGTTCCAAAGCATATTTTACTCTTTCCTGACAGTTTTTCCTCGTCTCATTCCATTTTCTCAGTTTGATTGCACTGCATGACTCGTCACTGCATTGCGTCTATGGATGCACCTGAACAAAACTGAACGTATGAAAATCTCTTTTTTTTTATTTCTTCTCACGGAAGGCTTCTGAAATTCTCGCTAGCCTCGAATCTGTAAAAAGACATGACATTGCTTCAATGCACGGAGCATTAGTATCATGCGAAAAGCACTAATTAAACACGCAATGATAGAATTGTGTTCCACATTCCTTTTTTCGTTATCTTTCTCTTTGATGCGCCTTTCAGAGCTTATTTATTAGATAATCATTTATGGCTGAGGCAGCCTTCAGCGTGACCTTAGTTTTTGCTCTTCTTGAAGATTTTTTTTTTCCACTCAGTTCATTCGTCTTTCTGCCAAAAAAATTTTTTTCTTTCTGGAATTCCTATGTATCTTTGAACATATCGCTCAAAGAGCAGACACGGCGGAATTATTTCGCAGCTAAAATGATTGCATTGCGAGAATTGAGAAGATGTGAAGCTTATCTTCTGATCTTTCTATGCAAAAGAACAGACAGATTGCTAAATTTGTGAACTGTGTAAATTCACACTTCGTCGGGAACAATTAATCTTTATGCTC